CGTGAGGGGAGCCGTACCGTGGAAGAGTACACATGTGGGATCGCCCGAAGGGGGAATCACTACACACGGGCACCTAGCCCAGCACTAAGGCTGACCTTGGGCATGCACCCAAGTGCTGAGCCAGGCATCTGGCGCTCCGCCACGCCTGACCGCAGAGGGTGCGGGAGGTACTCCAACAGGGTTCGCCATGGGGAACTGAACTGAGAAGCAGAAAAGGGCACGTATCCGGTCCCTAGAGGGGAATGGCGCAGCAAGCGTGATCGACACCGAGCGGGTCCGGTGTTACTGCCTACCTGAGGTGAGTACACGAGAGGACACGGGCTCTACACAGAGATTATAGAATCTCGCAAGCGTGTTAGGCGTCGCCCAGCCGGCAACTCTACAGATGTCTGCTATTGAGGCACCCCGCACCAATGCCCAAGAAGATGCCACTCCTCTTGGAGAGTGAGCTCTCACTCTGAGGGGGCACAGTAACCATTGGGCCTGGTAAGCTAAAACTATAGCCTCCACTAACCAGTGGGGAAGTCTTTGTTTGGAGACAGCCTTTCCCTTCTGCTGTCCTCCGAAGCAGACAAAGAGCTGGTCTGAGGTACTGAAGCTCCGCGTACGGTCCACGTAAATGTGCAGAGCGCGAATGGGATAGAGCAGAGCAATGGCCGGGTCTGCCTCCTCCCGGGGCAGCACTTGCAAGTTCACCACCTGATCCCTAAAAGGCGTGGTGGGAACTTTGGGCACATATCCAGGCCGGGGTCTCAGGACAACGTGAGAGTTACCCGTTCCGAATTCTAGGCACGAATCGTCGACCGAAAATGCCTGCAGGTCCCCTACCCTCTTGACCGAGGCCAATGTGGTGAGGAGGACCTTCAACGATACATTTCGATACAACTTAAGCTCTACCGACTGCAGAGGCTCGAAGGGCTCCTCCTTCAAGGCCGTCAGGACCGAGGGGAGATCCCCAGAGGGGAACAGGTGAGGGCGCGGGGGGTTTAACCTTCTTGCCCCTCTGAGAAACCTGATGACCAAGTCGTGCTTCCCCAAAGACTTACCGTCTACTGCCTCGTGATGCACGGCAATGGCGGCAACATACACTTTAAGGGTGGAGGGAGACAGCCTTCGCTCCAACCCATCCTGCAGGAAAGAAAGCACGACTCCGATCGGGCATCTACGTGGGTCTTCCTGGCGGGAAGAGCACCAAACGACGAACAGGTTCCACTTCAGCCTGTAAGCATGTCTGGTAGATGGGGCTCTAGCTGACGTGATGGTGTTTACTACCGCTGGAGGTAGCCCACCTAGAACCTC